GTCCTTGTACCATACCCCTAACTGGCATCCCTGGTGTCTCAAAACTTGCCAAGCATTAATTTAAATTTAAGTAGACGTGTCAGAGCCTTTGTCCTGATTTATTCCCTCTGCCTGGACTATTCCTCCCAGAATATGCAAGCGTTTTACTACCTTCCTTTATGCAAGTCTGTGCTCAAGCGTCATTGCTCAGAGAGATCTATCACGTACCACATTTTATCTCATCCATTTACCTTGCTTTATCTTTCATCACAGCGCTCACTAATACAAGCAATATATCTCATATTCACCTATCGATTTAATTGTTTCTACTCCCTGGAGTAGTGTTTGACATGCAGACAGTAATTGTTGAGTGAATACATGAGCTAGAGCAAGAAAACCATCTAATAAGTACTTGATTTGTGGATTCAAGTTCTCTCCAACCCAGTGTTGCAATGGTATTTAAAGAAGACTCCTGTCTACGCTACGTCTTGCAGTTTTTTGCCTCTGTGCTTCTGTTCCTGTCATTATTTACCCTTTCCATCCTTTTCTTTCCAACCCCAGATACTCTGGCCAGAGTTCTGACTTTGAAACCTTCACTGAACACACCCCCTGTCTGTCCATCTGAACCCCAGGGCACTGCGCTCTCTCTTTATCCCTTCCTTATCTCACGTATCATCTGTCTTTGTGAATCTTAGTTCCCCAACCATAGGCTCCATGAGTGGAGATTACATTTATGTATTCTATTTTTTTTTTTTACTTTACATTTTCATGTACAATTAAAATGGAATTAACTTTGATGATTTTGTTACAAGAAACCATTTATTAACAATTTTGAATCCCAAAGAATGTATTTTAAGGAAATGATCACTACTATCAACATTCAGATATGCCAACACACACACCATATTCTTACCAAAAAATGTGATTAAAGAGCAGGGAGGTGGGAGGGAGAGACTAGTAAAGAAAAACAAAATATTTTTTAAAATGTGACTATACCATACATGTTATCTAGTAACCTGCATTTTTAAAAACACCATAAGATCATATCAGGGATAATATTCCATTAGGTAGATATTAAGCCTTCATTGTAACTTTTTTTTTTTTTTAAGATCTATTTATTGATGAGAGAGAAAGAGAAGGAGAGAATCTTTCAAGCAGACTCCCTGCTGAGCTCGGAGCCTAATGCAGGGTTTACTCCCGCGACCCATGAGATCATGAGCTGAGCCAAACCAAGAGGCAGACACTCAACCAACTAAGCCTCCCAGGCACCCCTTCGCTCTTAGTTTTTGTTGCATTGTATTTAACCAACCTCTTATTGACTGACTTTGAAATTGTTTTCAGTTTTTCACTCTTGTGCATGTGTGATGTATGCTTTTGGGGGTAAGTGCGGTGAGAAACTCGAAGAGAGGATAGCTTTCAAATCTTCATGATGGAGGGCTGGAATGAGTTGACTAGAGAAAGGCTGTTTACATTTTTCTTTTTAAACTAGTGTGCCTCTTAAAGGAATTTTAAAAAATATATTTGCTTTTACACTTTTAAAAGTTGATATGCATAGTTTTTATTAAATTTAAATACATTTAAAGCTCATAATTTTTGGCAGATTGTAAATATGTACCTGTTAAAATTGAACTGTGACATTACTTTTTAAAATCTATCTGATAGAATAAAAATATAGTGACTTGATATATACCTTAATCTATTTTTTAAAAACTCATGAACTAGCTTCTCTTTAATGATCTAAAATACTATATAGTCCCTTTTTCTTCTTGAACTACTAACTCTATTCTACTTTCCTTACAGGGTCTATGCTAATGCAATATAGTTTTATATTGGAAAGTCTTTTATTAATCAAGCATTGCCATCAAATTTATGTGGATAAATGTATTTAAAATTTCCTGGGACCATATGGTAATTTGTGAAATGTAAAATACAAAAAGCTGTTTTTTCCTCCAACTAGATAATATATGTATGGACAAGTGTTACTTGTTGGTAGAATGAAATAGGAGCACCATCAATTTTTTTCTTATTTTCCATTTTTGTAGATGTAAGTGCTGAGAAACATTTTCACATAAATCAAGTAGATGTGACTGAGAGGATCTTTTTTTACAGCAATATCTCTCAATTCTTTGAATTCCTTCTGAGTTATTTGATAACATAAATCTATTACTGAAAAAACATTTTTAATGATCTCTTGGTGTCTATACAATTATGTTTTCTGTAAGTTTTACTGAGAGTAAAGACCGCAGTGCTAGAGAGATGTCTTAGGGTGCCAGGCACAGGCATTGGTAGGAGCACACTTGACCTTGATGATTATGGATATTCCCTCTATCATGTCACGTGCTTTGCTCCAGCACTGTCTGGGTCCACAGGTGTAGCCCAGAGAGGAGGAGAGTTGGATTCAGTTAAGGCTGAATTTCTACCAGATGTGTGTTGACTAAGACATAAGAAATATAAAATAATAGGGAGGCAGAATCTGAGCCAGACAAGGACACCGTGGAAGAAGACCACTGATGGACTGGGGAAGAGTGGAGAGGAGAGGGTAAAAGGAGGGCTTTTCCAGGTGGGAGATTGGTTGGAGTACTTGAAATAGCAAACTGGAAAGAGAGGTCATTGTTGTCTGACGTGTGATGCAGGAGTTTTGGAGGTGGAGCAGTTGTGGGTCATGAACTTGTCCGAGCTATGACTGTGATATGAAGTTCTTGAACTTCATTTTTTCATTTGTTTATGCAAAAATCACTGAAAATGAATTTATGGAAGTGGGTTGTCATGGTGTCAAAAAGTCCACAGTGATTTTCAAAGGAATGAAGGCAGGGCTTAGAGTGGAGAGAAAGAATACGAGCCAGACATCAACAAATCTAGAAAATGAGAGAAAGGGGCTCTTGGAAGCTGGAAGGAGCAGGTCTTAAAAGAATTTAGTTTACAAGGAGCTTCAGGAGAAATGGTTTGGAAAGGATTGTGGTGGATATGGAAGGAACCAATTCATTCCCTGACTCTGATGCGTGAACACCTGCCATTTGAGAAGCACAGGGAAAACCATGTCCTCAGGGGAGAGCCTCAATTATTAGAAGGGAGGAATTTGTATTTGTGACAGGGATTTTAGTTCTATTAGACAGCGTGTTTCTGAACCACAAGCTTACTTAATGTGTTAGTAAAACTTCTTCATGGAGTGCCTGAGTGGCTCGGTCAGTTAAGCGAATGACTCTTGATTTTGGCTCAGGTCATGATCTCACGGTCATGAGATCGAGTCCTGCATCAGGCTCTGAGCTCGGCAGGAGTGTACTTGAGATTCTCTCCTTCTGCCTCTGCCCCTCCACACCTGCTCGCACTCTCTCTCTTAAAAAGACAACAACAACCCCCCCCAAAAGAAACAACAAATAAACTTACTCAGTTTCTTCCAGAGTTACTAGTTCCTTCAGTTTCCCTGTCTCTCCAGAATAAGTTTTTTGATCATTTATATTTTCCTCAAAAAACACTTATTTCAAATATATATTCAAATGTGTGAATACAGGTGCTTTACAAACTATTTTTATGTAGGTATGTGTGTATGTATTTATGTGTTTAACGGTAAATTGCCTCTGAATTATAGAGATAAATTGTTTTTGTGTTTTTAAAATTAATTATGGATATGCTTTGATACTTATTGATTCCAGTCTGTTTTCAGGATTATATTATTATATATTGATATATATATATATTATATTTTCTCATTTGTAGGAATTACATTTTCATTTTCTTTTCTGAGATTAAAAAAATCCCATTTAGGGGCACCTGGGTGGCTCAGTGGGTTAAAGCCTCTGCCTTCAGCTTAGATCATGATCCCGGGGTCCTGGGATCGAGCCCCACATCAGGCTCTCTGCTCAGCGGGGAGCCCGCTTCCCCCTCTCTCTCTCTGCCTGCCTCTCTGCCTACTTATGATCTCGGTCTCTCAGATAAATAAATAAAATCTTTAAAAAAAAATCCCATTTAAAAAAAAGTGTATCATCAATGAATAAAGAAATCAACATATTTTACTTTATTTTCAGTTCCACTGTTTTTTTGCACAGTATAGTGCCTTGCTTCTAATTAATTAGATACATTTTATTTAGCAGTCTTTTTTCAATATTTTATGTACCATAAAACATTTATTCTCCCAATATTACATTGATAAATGAAATACAGGATATTTCCTGCATATATATTCCATTGTCCCTTGTTTTTTCTGGCTTTGCAGTAGTCCGCTTTTATAGAGAAGACAGTAATACTGTATTTAAAAAAGAATCAGCAATAGATACAATGTGTCTAGCGTTTAATATATTCTGGGGATGTGCTAACATCTTTACCACAGTTACCATATTGAGTCTTGACAGTAACCCTGTGAAGTATGTACTGATGTTATCCCCAGGGTGCAGATGGGGAACCCAGACCAAGAGAGAATTAAGAGTTCCCTCCAAAGTTCCCCCGCTGTTGCGCATGTTGTTAGGACTCTGTTAGCATAAGAGATTGCTCTGTTAGCCTCTCATCCACAGTACTAGAAAAATATAGCAGACTTCTTTATGGCAGATGGCCAGAACCAGAGCATCAACATAATTCATGCTAAGATTTGATTGTCGGGCAATTATTATGTGCAATTATATTCAGTGTTAATAACTTTCCCCATGATATACTACTACCATACTCTGGACATGAGTCTCCTTTAACAGCTTAACAAAAGTCTTTTATTCATCTTCAGTGAGGTACACTTTCTATAAATAATTGTTTCCTTTAATCATTTTGGGATGTGGGGAAAAATAGATATCAATTAGCCATTTTTAACACCCTGTGTTTTCAAATTAGAATTTTTGAAGTCTTATGTGTATCTGTAGAAAGGCAAAAAAGAAATTTCATGCAGTTTGCTTCCTTGGTCAAGCAAAGGCAAACCCCTGTCCTTTTGTCTCTGAACTCTATCCCATTTGGTTATCGAACACCTTTTAAAATTTAGATATTTAACTACAACAAATGCCTATGGCTTATTGATTTGTGATTCTTCTTTCTTTCTTTTAAAGATAGTGTTTTTAGAAGAGGCATCCCAACAAGAAAAGCTGGCCAAAGAATGGTGCTTTAAGCCGTGTGAAGTAAGAGAACTAAGCAACCAGTAAGTACAGCCAACGTCTTCCCTTTTGCTGTTAAATAATGCCCTTCACTAGTCTCAGGTGATTATAGACCTGCCTCGGAGACGGAGAGGTTTTATTTTTTTCCTTGTGGGGCGAGGTGAGAACGAGAAGGGAATTTGAGAACAGGAAGCTGAAGGATGGACGCTTTGAGAACAGGAGGCTGCCATCATCCGTTTAATTCTCCAGCAGATCTTTGTGGAGTTTACTGTGTGCGACAACCAGGATCTGGAGAAAATGATGTGTAAAGTCTTCGCCCTCGCAGGGTTTACAACCCACGGGGATCTCAGAGAGCAAGCAGGTACGCAGATAGGGAGGCACGCCAGTGATAGGTTGTGCTACCTTCCGTGAAGGTATATAGGAAGGAAGAAAGGAAATAAAGAGGGAGGGAGAGAAACTGCCAGGGGTGAGGGGAGATGGAGGCTTGGGGAGCAGCAAGTGACAGCGCAGTTAGGGAACACCCATCCCCCAAGTGCATTTGAGCTGTGGTTTTATATTATGGGTTTTGAAAAAAATTTTATTCATTTATTTGAGTAAGAGAGAGACAGAGGAGGGAGAGAGAATAGGCAGGGGGAAGGGGCAGAGGAAGAGAGAGAAAGCAGCAGACTCCCCGCTGAGCAGGGCTCCATTCCAGGACTTGGAGATCATGACCTGAGCCAAAGGCAGAGGCTTAACCCACTGAGCCACCCAGGCACCCCCACAGGCATTGTTATAACTTGGGAAGTGACTTCAGAGAGTGACGTTCCAGTGAACTAGGAACCGGAACATCTGGCTTGAATCCTCTCGCTGCAGCTTGAAAGCAAGGCACTTCCCTTCTCTGAGCCCGTCTCCCAGGCTGTTAGCAAAATAATTGTCCTCAGCGATGGTGGTTGCCTCCTAAGGACCCTGCAGCAGCTCTGTGAACTGGGGTGACCCATAAGGCTTGGAGGCAGAGGGGCTGGCCCCAGTCCTGACAGATGGGGTGACTGTTCATAATGAAGTTTGGTGCACCTGTGTTTATGTTCAGGTTTCCTACCTGCTGCCTCTCTGGGCTTGGGAGGTCTTGGGCAGCGGGCCCGGAAGTGAATCCAGTGGGCAGGGAGCTAATTCTAGCCACTTCTGTGTTATTGTCTGCTTCCTCTTGCTAGATTGGTACGAGGATGTATGTTAAGGAGTGACTGACATTTGGTCTCCTGCCAGCAGGCCTTCAGGATAAGGGGGCAGAAGCTGGGGGAGTAGATGAGCTGAGGGTAAGAGGTGGAGTGGTTGAGGGTGGGGGGAGGGGCGAACACTGCTGTGGGTCTTCACATCCTTTGGCCCCTCTTCCTGAGGCTGCTTTTGCAGGAATGTCCATCAGACAAATAGAGATTCTGGGGCCTCTGTAGGCACCACACACAGAGAAGTGGTAAGGTAAGAAAAAACATATACCTTGGTGGAAGACTGAGGTCTTTGTAGAAAACCTCATACCAAACACACAGATATGCGCACTTGAATTTCTGTAAGTCACAATGAAGATACCACAGAAGATGGTGTCTCTGATAGTGTGTTTAATTGTACCTGCAGGTCTATTTCAGCATGATGTGGATTTTCTTTTTCTTTTCTTTTTTTAAGATTTTATTTATTGGAGAGAGTGCATGTGCAAGCACAAACAAGGGGAGGGCCAGAGGGAGAAGCAGACTCCCCGCTGAACCAGGAGCCTGATGTGGGGCTTGATCCCAGGACCCTGGGATTGTGACCTGAACTGAAGGCAGACTCAACTGACTGAGCCACCCAGGCGGCCCGGGATGTGGATTTTCTTAAATGAAAATTACGACCGGAGCACTCTGAGCAGAGCTTTAATGGAAGTAGATCAGATTGTGACCATGGACCATAGAGAGGGTGGCAGGGCCAGGATTAGGCTGAAAGAAGTGAGGCATTCACATTGGGCAAGGAATTTGAAGGTAGTCGGGAAGGGGAAAAGCTCATGAATCAAGATAAATAATAGTTGGATGCACCATTTTTAAAAATCAAAATTAATGCAAAAAATCCATAATGGACAAAATACCAAAATTTTAAGTAAATACAGGATGTTATTGTTTTACACCCCTGCACTGTTGGACAAGTAAATGGTCATTTTCAAAGAGCCTGGGGTTCCCAAGCCCACAAGACCATCACACCTCCTGGCTGGCAGGTGAATGAGGGTTGACGATGTTGAGCAAACAGCTTGGGCACCTCAGAACCTTCTAGATTGTCATATGTTTTGATGGTAGAGCTTTCGTGAACATTGTCCACTTGTTAAAATATGAGTGGGTGTTTTGATAAGTGTATTTGGGGCAAACCGTCTTCTTTGTCCTCAGATTCAGATACAGACTGGCCAACACTGCAGGTCTAGAATATGAAATTAATGATATTGATCCATGGGGAAGTTGAGCTTTTCTAAGGCAATGAAGCTAGTGAGTGAGCAAAATTGAAAAGAGTTCCTTCATCTCTGCTTCCTTAACAAAATCCTCAACAAAACATGACTTTCCCTTTCCCCCTACCTTCCCATTCTTCCACTACCGAATATTTTTAAAGGGATTTCTCCCTCTGCCCGGTACTTTCTCTAAACACTGATCTTTCGTGTTCATGGGTTTCTTTTCCACATGTAGGACAGTAACTAAACCATTCTAGAGATCTGGTAAGTATTCTACGGTATGGGACTGAATCCACATGAAATCAGGTGTCTCCCCAGTCACTGCTAGAAATGAGGGCTCTCATTGCCTGAGACCACTTGCCCTTCACCCTTGCCCTTGACAATCTCTGTCCTGTACTCCTTTCCCTTCACTGCTGTCCTTGATACCCCTCTTTCCTGGGTCTCCCTCAGTCCTCCTGACAGCTCTGCCCAGAATGAGCATGGCCTTGTGTTCCTCATTCTTACTCTTATAAGTGGACGGTACTGCTCAAGATTCAGTTTTGTTCTTTATCCACAGAAATCGCTGGCACCACCAAACACAAGGCTTACCTCCACAGAGTGGACTCTCAGACCTGAATCTGTCACCTCTTATCCCATGTTTCTGATGCTCTTTGGACCGTTGGAGATCACGCAGACTCTAGACTTAATAACATCACCCCGCCCTCAACGTGGGATTTCCTCCTACATTCCCTGCACATCATGTCTTATAGTCAGCTTCACATGCTCAAAAGCTCTCTTTTGGACTCATTCCTCTCCTTTGCTGCCCAGAGCTAATAAAATATCAAGCTTTTTCTTTTGCATTCATCTTTTCCTTTCTGTTCTTATCACCATAATCTTTATTCAGAAATGTCATGCTTGGGACATACATGGAAGGAGTCTCCCAGCACATCCCTGCCACGGCCAAATTCATATCCTACAGCCGAGGTTCAGTGTGTCACAGCTCTGCAAAAGAGAAGAAAAAACAAAGTAACAAGTATCCTCACCATCCCCTCCCTCCTGGCTAGAGAATAGCCAATACCAGTTAACTCACTGAGCTGATTATTCAAGACCCTTTCTAAGATGGTTTTTTTTGGGGGGGGTGCGGAGGCTGTTGTTTTGAAACTTTTTTTAATGTAGTAAAGTGCACAGATCTTAGATGTATACATTGGTAAATTTTGACAGACACATGTAACTATGTGACCCAATATATACCAGTCAAGATATGATACATTCCTATCAGCCTAGAAATTTCCTTTGTGCCCCTTCCAGCCCCTCATCCCTTGTTCAATTTTTTTCTATCACATAGATTACTTCTGCCTGTTTTTAAGTGTCATATGACTGGAATAAATCAGTAATTCCTGTGTCTGGATTCTTCATTCTTCATAATGTTTCTGAGAATCATCCATTTTGTTGTTTATACCAGTAGTTCTTTCTTTTTTATTGCCAAATAGTATCCCATTGTGTTGAAATATCACAATTCGTTTATCTGTTTTCCTGTGATATTTGAACTGTTTCCAGTTCGAGGCTAGAATACATAAACCTGCTCTAAATATTTTTGTACGGTGCTTTTTCGTAAGTGTCTGTTTATTTCAGTTGGGTAAACCACTAGGAGTGAAATTGCCCACTAAGATCCTTTATATTTTGACCAGATCTGCTTTTCTATCTCCCTCTCTTCTGTCTCCCCACCCTCCCCCAAACATAGCCTCACCCACCCCTAATCTGCTCAACTAGATTATAATCTCTTTGAAGATGTCTTATTTCTCTTGGGACCTCCCACAAGGTTTAGGAAAGTTTTAAAAATTTACCAGATATTTTGGAAATTTTATTTGTTTGAACAATACAACAACATGAACAAATCACTCGGCCCTTTCATTTCGTGGTGTTGGAGACAGGAAAAGCCCCAGGACTGAGGTGTCCTGAGAGGTCAGCAACTCCCGCCTGAGAGGAATCCATAGTTCACCCCCCCGTGCTGCGCGCCCCCCACATTGTAGGCTCACTTAACGCCACCTTCTTGCCATAGAGCTTGTCACGGCTTTTCCCGGCCAAAACGGAGGACGAACTCTGTCCTCTGAAGGGTAGTGACCGAGAGTACTGAGCCTACAGACAAACTGGCTGGATTGGAATCTAGGCTCCAAAGCTGACTAGTTGAGTGATTTTTTTTTTTTAATTACTTACATTTCCTGAGCTTCAGTTTTCTCTTCTGTCAATGAGGATAACTTACTTCCTAAGTTTATTGTGAGCATTACATCATCATAACTACTATTTTTTTTTTTGAGTGCTTTTTATTATCCAGGCACTGTTTTTACACTTGCTAACAATCCTCACAACAGCCCTGTGGTGTAACTCCTATCTCTGTTGTACATAAGGGGACACTGAGTCACAGGGAAGTTAAATAGCATGTCGATGATCCCACTGTTTGTTGATGGTGGGGTCTGAATTCAAAATCAAGCAGTTTGAGTCAAGAATGTATATACTTTTTTTTTTAAGTCTCTCTCTCTCTTTTTTTAATTTTATTTTTTATAAACATATAATATATTTTTATCCCCAGGGGTACAGGTCTGTGAATCGCTCCATCTCTCTCTTTTTATTTTTAACTTTTATTTATTTATTTTGACAGAGAGAGATCACAGGTAGGCAGAGAAGCAGGCAGAGAGACAAGGGGAAGCAGGCTCCCCCCGAGCACAGAGCCCGATGCAGGTCCCAAACTCAGGACCCTGAGACCATGACCTGAGCTGAAGGCAGAGGCTTTAACCCACTGAACCACCCAGGCACCTCTCTCTCTCTCTCTCTTTTTTTTTTTAAGATTTTATTTATTTATTTCACAGAGAGAGTGAGAGAGCACAAGCAGGGTGGACAATGGACAGAGGGAGAAGCAGATTCCCTGTCGAGCAGGGAGCCGGATCTGGGGCTCCATCCCAGGACCCTGGGATCATACCTGAGCTGAAAGCAGGTGCCTAACCATCTGAGCCACCCAGGCGCCCCAAGAATGCATATACTTAACCCCTGTAAAAGACTGCCTCCCGCAACACACACGGATGGCGTGCCCAGTACACGTACCTCTTCAGTAAGCATTATCCACTGTGGCCACCAATAACATTATGGCCACCATTCCTGGTTCCCATTTCTTTAAACATAAGGCATTTTATAGATACCCCAGGCTTTGTTTGCCTTTCACTGAGGCGGTATACATTTGAATTGATAGCATAAGGGATTCTTTGTTATGTCAACTTTTGAGCTCAAGTTCTTCATGTTAAAATATAATTAATATTTTCTCAGGGGGTGCTGGTGGTGGTACATGCAGTCTTCTGACAGATATCTGTTTGGATGTGTGTAGACACTTAACAGACACCAGTGAACTGGATTCGTTCTAAGTGTCTGTTAGTTTGGGGGCTGCCTCGAATCTGTGGGTAGTGCCCCTGAAAACCCTTCAAAACATCTTTCCAGGACTTTCTGTTACAAGAATCCGTGGAAATATGAAAATTAGTTGGTGGTCCAAGGGATGAGCAGAAGGGATCAGCAGCACCTGCAGAAGGCTGTCCGAGCCCGGGGGCCGTGTCTTCACTTACCCATCCGACACCCCCACCCAGGGGCAGTCTCATCTCCCAAGATGGCCTGTCGCCAACCAGCCTCAGTTTGCTCCTGCTGCTTCATTTCAGAACCCAGTCCCTACCTCACAGGGGAAAGGAGTCAGCCAAGGTCTAGAGGACCCGTGAGTCTAGCACTGCGGCCACTGTTTATCATTGCCCATCATCCTTAATGACTTGGGAGTAATTCCTCAGCATGGCTCTAAAACCTTTAAAGACCCTTTTTCTCATCTTTGCTCTCCATCCTACAACCGCCAGTTATGAGAACAAAGTCATCGGATGTCTTGTTCCATGACTGCTTTGCTTCTTCTCCACGTGGTGCTTCTGCCTGCCTCGATCATCTTTGGTTAACCTCACACCAGCCATTCCGCCGTTCCAGTGTGTGAGCCGTAGGTCTCCCAGCGAGCTTCACTTCTGTTTCTTGATCCCTAGATAAGAGGAGAATTTACAGTCATCTGATTGCGTTAGCTGTAACCTACCTGGGGTGAACAATTAAATCACTGTGGAGAGAAAATGGGATTTAAAGATATGGAAAATGATTGAAGATGTTATTAAATTCTTTTCCCCTTGTATTTATTTCCAGTGAGTTCTTCATGCCCGGGCTGGTTGATACACATATCCATGCCCCTCAGTATTCTTTTGCTGGGAGTAATGTGGACCTGCCACTTTTGGACTGGCTGACCACGTACACATTTCCTACAGAACTCAAATTCCAGAACATTGACTTCGCGGAAGAAGTATATACCAGAGTTGTCGTAAGTATATTGCTTGTGAGTAGCAGTGTGTTACGACCAAATCCCCTGTAGACACGTCCATTTCTTGGGGCATATTTTAGTTACAAAGCACAGGCAGTTGGGGCTAGAGTGGACTGTGGAGACATTTTCAGTTTTTTTCACAGCCCCAGGGGTGTGTGGACCATCTATGTCTTCTTCACAAGCTAACCCCTAGCAGAGAGAAAACTTGAATCCAAGTCCTCAAATCCCCTATCCGGTGGGCTCTCTTGACTCTCGATCTGTTACTTCTTGTGTTTCAAGTTACTAAATTTGAGTTCCATGCACGTGTGTGTTCCCTTACTCCTGCCAATCCACAGTGCTGTTCTGGGGACCATATGGAATAGCTGTGTAACCTTTGGAAAGTTCCGTGACTCATTTTCCCCATCTGTAATATAAAGTAGAGATCATGATAATAACTACTTCATAGGATTGTTATGATAAGTTAATATTTGTGAAGTTCTCAGAATAGTGCCTGACACATGGTAAGCATTGTATATGTTTGCCTTAAAAAATGTAAGGAAATTTAAAATTAAAAGTTAAAATTACAGTTAACTGTAAATTACAGTTAACAGGGTTTCACGTTATTTTAGTAGCTTCCCAAAGGAGGGAAAATAGGATGGTTTCCTATAGCGGGGTACTTGGGAATGTGATGAGCATTAACACCACTAGAGAGAGCGATGGAGCTGGTTCAAGTCATTGACCAGTGACTGCTGAGTTCCCCAACTGTATAGTGAGGGCTCAGAAGATGTCCTTAGTTCCACTCTCTCAGGGAAATCCTTCTTTCTACCCTAAACCCTGTTCCAAATCCACTCAGCAACCAGAAATAGCTTCTGCAATGGAGAATACCTTTTGCAAATACCTTCTTATCTGACCCCTACCCTTTGTCATGCAGTGCGCTTAGTCTAAATATTTCTGCATTGTTGTTGGACCCATAGAGGGTTTTTCTTCTAAAGTGTTGGCTGTGTGATGTGTGATGTGTGATGTGTGATGGTGTGATGTGTGAAGGCTGTGTGATGGTGACAGTATTATAAGCCTTATACGGTTACCTAACCATTCTGCCATTTCCCCTCGTATCATTCAAGCTTTGAGGAGTATAAGCGAGGGCTATCCTGTGTATACTTGACTTCTTTAATCATAAATTCAGTGTAATGGTGGTTCTTACCTATTTAGCCTGCATCCACATGACACCAGAAAAACTGAGAAGGACTAACACAGTGCATGAAATTGCTGGGCAATGAATTGTGTTAACCACACCAGATCTTTTCTCAAAATTTGTTTATCCCTCTCATTGTTCTTAAAAGGGTTAGAGATACCTTAAAATAGCATAGTACACAGTGGAAGCAAATGAGTCACGAAAGCATGGCAGAGGGAAAAAGGGGGAAAGGAAAATAAAACTGAGAGGGGTTTTACCATGGGGGTCCATGCAATTGTTAGAATTTGCCACAAGTTCAGCTTTAAGTTTCTAGCCGCTGACCCAGGGAGGAAAATCAGTGATGTAATTTGCACTGTGTATATGATAAAAAAGAAGATATTTGTTAAGGCAAAGCATTTCTATTCCTTATACTGATTTTCTTAAAAATTAGTTTCAATAATATTTCATATAGATGCATGCTATGTTGTCAAAATATATGTTATTAAGGTGCTATAGTATTTAAAAAAAACAAATATATTACTGTTTTGTTTAGACATTTAGAGTATCTAGTACCATATATCCTTCAGGCAGTACTCCATAAACACTACTTCTTGTAACAGAGAGTTAAGTATTTAATGTCAGTGAGTACAAAATAGATTTTATTCTTGACAGACACTTGCATTGCCTACTCCTGTGTTTCTGGTGACGAGCAGGTAGGCCTGCATACTTTAATAGTCAGATGAGCTGATGATATTGCTGAAATCTGTAGAAGTTGAGATTTGTTAACTAGAACCCGTCCTTAGACTGAAGACGGCTCAGGGATGCTAAAACCATACGTATGAAGAGATCCAAGCCATTTTTGTTTGTTTGTTTTATTTTCTCCCTCATAAAACAGTTCTAGATCTATACTTCAGCAAATGGGTAAATCAAGACCCTAGAGTTTTGTGCCATAGATGATGTTGATCATTTACTATGCAAGCAATTTAAAGTATATATTAGCAAACATCTCCCGAGATTACTTAGGAAAAAAATCCCAGTAAAGCAAGCCTGGATTATCCTCCTTTAAGCATTGCAAACTGCTGGGCGCCTGGGTGGCTCAGTGGGTTAAGCCTCTGCCTTCAGCTCAGGTCATGATCTCAGAGTCCTGGGATCAGGCCCTGCATTAGGCTCTCTGCTCAGCGGGGAGCCTCCTTCCTCCTCTCTCTCTGCCTGCCTCTCTGCCTAATTGTGCTCTCTCTCTCTGTGTCAAAGAAATAAAATCTTAAAAAAAAAAAAACATTGCAAATGGATGGGAAATTACAGTTTCCAATTACACTGGAATAAACTAAAGACACTAAAGGCTCAGGAATCTATACATCATATCATTTGCAGTCGAGGGATTGGAGAGTGAGATCCCTGGTAAAGGTGCCAAGATAAACTGGTTGCGAATATTCTGGGTGACAGAAGGAATGTGCTTACTCTATGGGGTTGTCAAAAATTCAACTGATGAATCCAGCTAATTCCAGAGAGCTGTCAAACCATGGAGGTATAAGATGCATCGAAAGAAAATAGGCCACTCTTTGCTCCCTCTTTCAGCCCAGTGGAAATGCAGATCATCTACTCTGTTAAGAAGCCAGCGCTACTCGTCTCGAAGTTTGTAGTCATCCCATGTTTGGCATCTATTTTGAGCTCAAAAAGCTTGGTCTCAAAACCTTTCTTGTCAAGAACTGAAGGCTGGGGAAGGATTGAGAAACACTACCCACAGCCTGATGTTCTTGGTAGATTCTTATAAATGGGAAAGATACAAACTCATCACTAACGGAAGAGCCCTCTTGAAAGCTTGTGAGAAACTAGGGTGGCATTGGGTCCAGGATGCCCAAATATAGAACAAACGAAGAAGGGAAGCGGCTGTATATTAGGTGGCCTCCTCAGTTAGGGTTTAAAGACAAACTCTTCTTGCAATTACGTAAGTCGCACACATGTAGCCGCTTTGTTAAAGGGGCTGAACTCAGTGGGAACCAGTAAGAGTAGCTTGGGGATTCTTTCCTTTCTCCTCTCCCTCCTTTGTTTGCCCTTTTTTTCTCTGTGGTTTCTCTCTGTCCTGTTCTTTAACTATAATTTGGGCAGATTCTTGAACTTTCTATTTTATCACAGTCCAACGTGAAAGTGCAATTCTCATCTAGTAAAAACAACCATCCTCCCCTGCCTTAGAAAGACTTAATGTCCTTGTCTGTGTGGCGCTTCCGTTGTCCTTCTTTCTATTTTGAGTTCATCTTCAAGCTACGATGTGTGTAAAATTTTGAGAGTATAGAAAACGTTAGATTACACTTCTGTTTTAATTTTGAGTTCACTTTAGTCTGGTTAGGGCACGCAGCCTGACTTGGGACTCCATCTCATGACCCTGAGATCATGACCTGAGCTGAAATCAATGGTTGAACACTTAGCTGAGCCACCCAGGTGCCCCCATAGATTTTTTTTTTTTTAATCAAGCTTCCTTCTAGCCTTACAGATTGCCTCTTTCCTCTGAGATTTTTTTTCTCCAGATTCTTTTTTCCCCTCCTCTTTTTTATACTACCTTTCCTCCAATCCTTGAGCATACATTTCATATTTAAGTGTGATGCTCTAAAATACTGATTGGAAGTCTAGTTGGGGTGGCACTTGTTGACGAGGGAACTTCATTATAGGATAAACAGTGATGGCAGTGAACAGCCCTCTCAACTCGGGGCCCCAAATGCCGTTGTGAGGTATCTTCCTTCTAGAACCATTCATCTTCTCTAGGAAAGAGTTCCTGAGTCCTGCCAGGAGTGGTGGGACTTGCATATGTGACATTTTGGGGAAAAAGTGACCAAGGATCCAGAGGGCCAGCCAGATTATCCACTTAAAACTCCTTCCAGTCTCTGCCATACCTTGCCATAGTGGGTGTCCAGTCTTCAAATACGACTGCAAGTTTCTGCAAGAGCAGTTCTCTTCTGCAAGTATCTGGTTGGGGTGGTTGGCTGATTTCAGCAAGGAGGAGAAGGGTCTTGCCAGGTTTAATCATCTGTATACAGAAGGCTAGCCAATTCTCTATTAACAGCTCTACACTTCTTTCTCTCCTTCTAGAGTCACCTCCAGGTTTTCATCTTTTTTTTTTTTTTTTTTTTTTTTTTTGTCTTCTAAGAGGATGAAGAATTGCTTCCCTTGCTCATGTCTCTTTCTTCTTGGTTAATACATTTTATACTCCTATACTGTTAGGTTAGTGGAAATGTGCTACTAACCTGCTAGGTTAAACTAGAAATCTGGCTGAATAATTTTGCCCTCTTGTAGAAAATGGAAAAAAATTCTCATTTACTCATCCCTTGATACAATAAAGTTTGGATATCCTTAAATAATCCCAGAAAAACCAAGGAATTAATTAGTATCACATTTTGTGAATTCTGCAGCACGGAACAGTGTGAAATCTAGGAAATCAGAAGCACCAGCTTCTTCTCCAGCTCACACTTCCGGAATATAAATACTTTTGCCATTTACCTTAACCGTATTTCATATCAAGATGGCATACCGTTAAATAAAAACATTTTTAAATTAAAAACTAGAATTCTATTTCATCTTTATTTGCCATGTGACTTTTCTGGGCACACGCGATTCATGGTTTTTTGTGATTTATTTTTAGAGGAGAACACTGAAGAATGGAACAACCACAGCTTGTTACTTTGGAACAATTCACACTGACTCATCTCTGCTCCTTGCAGAAATTACAGGTGAGGAAACGAAAGCGTGATTTATGGGCACATCAAGCCAAGACAGTCAGACCGTGCCCGGCAGTGACTTACACGTGTGGGCTGTCCTGCCTTTTAATTGCTAGAATTTGAGCGCCACGTTTCTTGTGAGTAATTAGGTGTATGTGTATGGCCCTTGAATGCTTTTTATTGTGTACATAATTTGATTATTTATTTATGGTTTTGGTTCCAGAATGACGCGTACGGGTGTGAATTTTGTGTCTTAGTTTAGGGCGCTTGGGAGCAGGTTTACTAATTCTCACTGTGGTAACAGTTTATTATATTATAATCTGCAGACATGTCTTGGCTGTTGGCTGGGCTCAGGGCACTGTGCTAGATGCTGGGAACACAATGAAATAGAAAATAGTTCTGCCCTTGAGGAGCCAGACGGGATTAACGATTAATTACCACACACCTTGATTAATAACTGTATTAACAGCGGCTGTGCTCTTGCTAGATGCCTGGCTTCGCCCAGAGCACTCACCGTGGATTATCTCAGCTCAGTTGCAAGCAGCCGTTGGAAGTAGGCATTCATGCCCTCGTGTTACAGATGGATAAACTGATGCTCAGAGGTCATAATGCCCAAGTCACACGGCTAGTAAGCAGATCCGAGACTGGCTTTAGATTAGTAATTCCAAAACTCGAACTTCGCACAGCGCCCAGAACGTCGCAGATGCTCAGTAAATACCACTGGCTGATGTGCTGATACTTCTGCTCGCTGGCCAAGGTAGCTTCTGCCCGAGGCTGAGAATATGTATTGCTATTTTTGGAGGAGACAGAGAAGACTCAGAATCAGATCATCTGGAAAGAATTCAGAGAGGGGCCTTTGAACGGGACTATACAGGAACATCAAATTGGGGGAGGAAAATGTCTTCCCGGCAGGGGAAATGACATGGACAAAGGTATGGGGACAGGGACGTCCAGAGTGGATAGAGGAAGCAAGGAACAGAAAAGCTGAACCGGAGGACAGGATTCACCGCGTGGTGGGACGGGAGAGGAGGTTGGGCAGATGGGATGGTTCAGACCATGGAGAGGTTTGAATATGCACCAGATACTCAAAGATTATGGTGAAGGTGGTGGTTCAGGAAGAGTCATCTAGTGGCCAGGTATCACAGTGAATTACAGGGGAAAGAGAGAGGAAAAAGATCTTTCTTTGCAAGAGTCTTATGACATCAGACAGACGGTATCTTCAATGTTCTAGCAGAAATAAAATTTTTCTAGGACCTCTAGTGAGGACCGGTTCCTTAGTGCCGAGAGCTGCTAGGGGACTAAGTCAAATTCCCCACCTATGATAATATTGGCCTTGCTACCATTAAGAAAAGTAGCGCTATCTTTTCTAAGCCCTATGTGCCAGACATTTTATAGACATTATTGGGTGTATTCCTCATAACCTTACACATAACAGAGGACGCTGGGCACATACGGGTTTAGACCTTAATCAAATATTATCATCATCCTGGTAGTAACCCAAGGAATAGTCAGTGGAAAACCTTGACCTACTTACAGAATTTGGTGTGGTTTGTTGTCGTTGTTTCTGTTCTTTTATGGTGTGAGGACCTTTTACATTTGCACTTGTGTTTTCGTGATGATTTCAATTTAAGTGTGTTTTCTAAAGGCTCGGGAGGGATATACTGTTGGGGGAAAAAACATAACTTCACATTCTCTTTGTGTGGCCTCTCACAGATAAATTTGGGCAACGGGCGCTTGTGGGCAAGGTCTGCATGGATATGAATGCTACTGTTCCAGAGTACAGGGAAACCACTGAGGAGTCAATCAAGGAAATGGAGAGGTACATGCATCTGGAGTGGTCTTGTGGGCGGTCCCTCTGAGGCACTGATGGAGTGAGACAGAGAGAGGCAACTCTGTGAACCGGGCCCATAGGCACATAGGCACTGTGTGGGTTTCCCCTTCTTTATGCAGGTGGTCTGGTCCTAAAGAAAATGGTGCATGTCAATACCATTTCGAAGCCTCTGGGAACTTGCTATAGGAGTCCTATGGTGAATCCCTTCATGAAATGAAGGATTCTTTTTAAAAGTTAATGATTTACCACTTCCCTCTCCTTTATTACAGATGGAGGCTTTTCCTGCAAATTGAACTTGCTTTTTTTTTTTTAAGATTTTATTTATTTATTTGACAGAGATCACAAGGAGGCAGAGAGGCAGGCAAAGAGAGAGGAGGAAGCAGGCTCCCTGCTAAGCAGAGAGCCCAATGCGGGACTTGATCCCAGGACCCTGGGATCATGACCTGAGCCAAAGGCAGAGGCTTTAACCCACTGAGTCACCCAGGCACCCAAATTGAACTTGCTTTAAGTGTATGGTCTGTGCTTCAGATTCCTTTTGGTGGCGGGATCATCCTCTTGCCTGAGATCTTGAGCTTCTGTTATATTTTTTTAGGTTACATTGGGACAGTCTGTGGATTCCAAAAGTACCTTATCTACATTTCTTTTTCTTTAATGGCTTTAATTTCCTTTATTTAATGGCTTTTCCATAGTCCCCTGAGCATTTGATTTGACAAGGAATTGCATTGTCTGACATTTGACACCCAAGAGTTATAGAAGAACATTCTTTAGTTGTAAATCTTCTCCAAGACCTACCCTATCCTGATGCAACTTTTGGAAGCCCAACTTTCTACAGTTCCAAACTTCCTTCACCTTAACTGTGTCCTCTGGAAAGGATGGCTTAGGAACCACCATGTGCTCACAGAAGGACGGAAGCATCACCTTCCACTTACCGTTGGCCACATGCTGAACCTGACTATGGATGTGTGGTCATAGCATCTTGTGGTCATAGCAAGCCTTAATCCACATTTTATTCTGAAACAAAGGACCACCACAAAGCAGAAAGCTAGCTAGTAAATGTTTTCGGTTGGGGCACAAACCGCCGTTTCATATGCTCTGGGGATACCACCATCCCTGATTGCCACCCCCATCCCATCTGGTCTCATTCCTCAACACCCCCCCCTTCCCCCGACCTGCCCTCTCCATTTCACAGCCGTCTCTGGCCTCTTCCAACAGCCTTACTCCATCATCTGTACTCATAGAGCCCTACGCTTCGAAATGCCTCCAGGTGCATAGGATGCCAGTGATCCAATATCCACAGAGCGTCCTGCAGTATTTCCCCAAATAGAACTTAAACCAGTGGAATGCCTTGAGTGATATGGGAATACTCATGAACAGCCCAGCTGATGTTAGGGGGTAAAATTGCATTTCCCTGTGATTTTGCACTCTATCTCTCTGGCTGCAAATGAGAAAGCAGAGTAATTACTACTTGTTAATCTTTAATTAGTGCTGGGGAAACATGTATGGCGTTAGAAATGTTTGCATGGAAATTAAGATATGTAAGGATCATGTTTTCACCCTTTTAAAAAATCTATTTAAAAATGCCAAAATTTTCTGTCTTAGCCATTTGTTGCTTTATTTCAGATTTGTGTCACGGATGCTCCAAAAGAATGTAAGTAAGCTTGTTCCCAGCTTGGTTTTGGATTGCTTTTGTGTCGTTTGTAAGATTGGCCATTAAGGTGTTTGGTAAAGATTAGTCCATGTATGTTTGGCTTACTCCATGCATGCAGAAATATTTCCCCGGAGCCTTCGACTATTTTTACAGTGGACCCATCAACTCAGCTCTGTGCGATCAGGCTTCAGTGGTTTTTCCCTTCCTTTTCTCTGGAACCTTCTAATCACACAGGACTGGTCCCTGGGGAGGTGAGAGAGGCCTTCACAGATGTAGACAGATTGGGAGCAATGGGAAGTTGGCTACATCAGCATTGGCTCTGGCCTCTTGTACATCCTGATATGGTCTAGAGCACACGTGGTGTCCACCGTGATGCCCCAGGCGTTGGCCGCCTTGGTCCCTAATGTGTGGTATGTCACATGGCCCGCAGACACTCAGCCAGCCACTCCTCTCTGCATTGCCCTGGTGTTGGTGAGCCTACGGAGGCACTACTGATTCCTCCCCCCATTCCCAGCAGGCCAGTTTGTAGCTCCATTGTGCAATCTCTTAGATTTGCAAGCCAGACCCTTCCCTTACCACCTTTTTTGAAGTCTCATTGGAAATTGTGAGAACCCTATTACTTTCAGTCTAATCTCAGGAGAACTAGGTGAAGCTTTGTGGGTCCTCATGCTCACCACCCCTCTTTTGAGCCCTTCTGTCCTGCTAAACCTTCATCTTGGGTGACACTAGAGCCAGTGCTACCACCAAACATCCTGAAGGAGGCCATGGCCAGCACTCCTCCCCAAGATGTAGATGGGGAATAGGACACCACTTCTCTCTGAGTCTCCCCATATCAGCCCCCTTTAGAAGTTCTTCTGCTTCCCATTTCTCTCCAGGAAGGCCACCAAGTCAAGGCCTCATCTGAACCTTACGTGGATGTAGGACTGGGACTATCTGTCATTTGAGACAGGATCTTCTTCCATTGAACTTGGTGCTGTAGAATATTCTCTCTCTTGTCCTCAGCCAGGAACTGTTTCCATGAAACCCACTGCTTCCACCCACTCTTAGAATGGGGGACTATCTCCCTAAATGAAGATATGAAATTATCATGTTGTATGATTTGCACGTTGGGGTATGTCACACATTCACGATAGCTATAGTTTCCTTATCAGTTTTTTCTTTAAATTATTTCCAGTATTCTAGAGTGAAGCCCATAGTGACACCACGTTTTTCCCTTTCCTGCTCCGACACTTTGTTGGGTAAACTGGGAAACATGGCGAAGACTCATAATTTGCATATTCAGGTGGGTGTTTTTCTCCTGTTTGTGCCCCTGTCCAGGCCTGTAAGACTTTTTAGTACCCCAAATTCTGTCAGTCCTCTCTAGTTCTTCTTCTGAGATTTCCTAGAGAAATAACATCGTAAGATAGGAAGAGTTCTTACAGACGTCACCTAAATCCACTTCTTTAATTTCTCAGATAAGAAATTTAAAGTTCCTTTAACACCGCCGCCTCCCCCCTCCAACCCCCCGCACCTCTCTGATCAGACTTAGAGAGACAAGACAAGGACGTCATCTGTAACAAAGCCAGATCGGTAACGCACTGGTTACCTGTTCTCCGTGGGATAAATTTAATTCGTTTCTTTCCTACTTCTCTCTTTTATTTGATCCTTTCCTCAGTGTTCTAGTCTTTCATTTTTGGAGGAACCACCTATTATTTGAAAAGCAAAAAGAACCTAATTTCTACCTTACAGAAATGCATTTAAAAACCCTTTTGTTCTGAGTTCCTTAATTTAAAAATCAGGAACAAGAAAGTATATCTTACTTTGTCATTAAACGGTTGCGATTTGGGACTGAAACACTTTTTAAAGCTTCCAGCTGGTTTAAAATTGGAAGTTGCAGGCTCCCCTTTCCCCACCCAAGTTTCATGACGGACTGAACTAAAATTTTCCCTCTTAAGAGTTGACTATCTTACAACAAAGGGCAAGTTAGGGGAAAGGCAACACATTGATTCTTTATCATGATGGAGGGTATTTTGTTTTGTTTTCTTGATAAGATTTATTTTGTTGGGGCTCATTAACTATTCTCGTCATCCCCTCCTCCCTTTTGGGGGTCCTGTGACATTTGTTGTGTTTTTTTGTAAGACTTTATTTGTTTATTTCTCAGAGAGAGAGCACAAGCAGGGGAAACAGCAGGCAGAGGGAGAGGGAGAAGCAGGCTCCGGCCAAGCAGGGAACCTGATGTGGGACTGGATCCCAGCACCATAGGACCATGACCTGAGCAGAAGGCAGACGCCTAACTGGCTGAGCCACCCAGACGTCCCAACATTTGTATTTTTTATTCAATCCCACACAGTCATTGGGGAGGAAAAAGTTTTCCTGACTTACTTAGAGTCGCTGGCTGGGTCCGAACACTAACTTGACAAAGACCATAGGAGAAAAGCATACAAATGTATTTAATAAAAGTTTTACATGATAAGGAGCCTTCATAAGGAAATGAAGACCCAAAGAAAGAGATAGGAGCATTTGTAGGTTAGGTTTGGTGACAAGTGCCCAGTCATGGAGGAATATAATTGTTTGGATTCTTTGGGGCATCCCTTTGTCTTAGGAGATAAGGATGCTCCTTTCCTTCAAGGATAGGGTGGTCCCCCCTCATGTAACAGCTTTATGATCTGTTTCAGGGAGGAGGGGTGGGGGAAGGTCGGAATGACCTTCAGCTATTTTCCTTCAGCTGAAAATATGCATTGTGCCCTGGTGCCATGTTTGGAGGCTGTGTGTCCAGAACTCTGTGAACACAAAACAAAATCGAGTGCTGGGGGTATAAGCGTGTGTGCCTACATTGGCTCAAATCTATCAAAGTGAAAAGAATCATCTGGCTGTCCTTTTTTCTCTTCAGTTGCCCATGCATTTCTTCAGTGGTCTAGATTTCCTCCAGGCGAGAACAGAACTCACCTTCTAGGTGGAACACTCTGTGTTCAGAACATTACTGTTTTTTTCTCTGATTTCTTTGGCGCACACTTTACGTCATGGAAAAGAGGAAATGGCATTGCCGTTCTTGGAAGTGGCAACTTGCTCACGAGTTTTTTCCCATTATATGTACTCATTACCAGTTGGTCTGGAAGGATTTTTGTTTTAGGCAAGGGTGTGGGGTGGTTAAACTTAAGTGTTGTGTCTCCAAAGTACTTTCTGCCTTCTGAGGCTTTATGGTGCTCTCAGGAAAGGTTGGTGTGGGAGCCAGGACTCATTTGTTTTGACTGGATGTGGATTTTTATGGATTCTTTTTTTGGTGATGGCAGGATTGTCTAGCTGTTATTTTCTAAACCATTTTCTGTAGAAGAACTCATTCTGGAGGCAGATGAAGGGGACAGAATGAGGACAGGGCTCTAGAGTCCCAATTTTTGCTTCTTCCTGAGAGGAAACCTGTTTATGCCTTTTACATATTGTATTTCTATAAATTTTTATATGGATAACATACTCAAGGCTAGAAGAGTTTAGAAAATTACTCCTTTAAACCAACCCTTATATTTGAGATGTGAGAATATAAAGACCCAAAGGAAAGCACTGACTCACCCTAAGACCCATAACCAGGCTCAGAACTTGGGCTAACATTCAGCTCTCCTTGTTCAAATTCTAAGTTTCTTATGAGTGAACCATGCTATCTGTCCTTTTATGGCCACGAAACTCTTTTTCTTAAATGGCCAAATGGGAAGAGGCAAGTTCTCATAAATAGCTAGGTTCAAGTACTCTCTTCAAGTACTTCTTATTTTTATTCCCACTAGCTATAGAAAGAATGTAACATGGGTTAAGTTTAGGGCTAGAACATTACATATTCATGTAATTATCATGTTGACATTCATAGTTTCTTTTTCATATAGAGGTGGTATGTATATAATACATATAATTGTTTTCAGTAAAACCCACGTAGCATCTTTGTTGTGTTACCTTGCAAGCAGACACCATCCATACCATTTTTGGGGTAGGAAATATAATTTCTAATGGTATTTCATATTAGAAAATTGAAAATATTACTTCTTTTCTTGTAGAGCCATATAAGTGAAACTGTCTGTGAGGTTGAAGCTGTGAAGAACTTATTTCAAGATTATAAAAACTACACAGATGTGTACGATAGGAACAATCTTCTGACAAACAAGGTACGTTGTATATCATGACATAATCTGTATCATGGAGGGGGAAGTTATCTATGTTTTAAAATCTCAGTAAATCTCAGTATTCGGGGGGTAGCGGGAAACAAAATGAAATAATAAATAAAATCTCAATGGTAATCCTCAGGTTTTTCCAATATGTACGCATTTCCCAAACTAAAGCCCAGAGGATGCGCATGCATGGGTGTACAGTTAAAAATTGGCCTGCCGTTTCATCCCAGTAAATAACTCTCAAGGCTTCTTTGAGGGTGAGCTTGTCTCTTGGTCCAAGGACGTTTTGTCAGTATCCATTAGAATGTAAATGCACATTCCCTTGACTTAGCAGATGCATTTCTAAGGATGTGTTCTGTAAGGAATATGAATAGGAATGTTAACTCATGTGGAAGTTAGGAAGTGTCTATCAGTGGGGGATTGTTTAGTTTACAGAGCATTCGTGATTAAAATTTTATCCGGCATTCACAAGAGCGATGTATACGGGCTTGCAAGGAAGAATGTTTACAGGGTATTGTTTGCTGTGTGTGTATGGATGTGTGGGTACATGCTCACTTAGAAAGCTGTATCTGGGGTGCTGGGTGGCTCCGTTGGTCAAGCATCTGACTATTGATTTGGGCTCAGGTCCTGGTCTCCAGGTCCAGGGATCAAGCCCCGCCTCCAGCTCTGTGCTGAGTATGAAGCCTGCTTGGGATTCTCCCTCTCCTTTTCCCTCTGCTCCTCCCCACTTACACACTCTTTCCCTCTCTCTCGTCTCTTAAAAAAAAAAATTATCTGGAATACAAACATTGACTATTAAATGTGATCCACCTGAGGGAGAAAATGGGACTAGTTAGTCTTTATTTTTAGACACTGTGGTGATGCTTAAAAAAAAAAATGAGTGTATAGTACTTTCATAATTAAATAATTTCATATTAATTAAAGTTAATATAGTGGGGAGACCCTTTGTTATAACAATATACCCCTTGGCCTTGGGTCTTGGCCTTCAATGACTTGTACAAACTGCATGGAGAGTTGAATCTACTGGAGCAAATAAATTCTTCGAGACTGTGAAGGGAGGGCTGAATATGACTAATTTGAAAGGTTAATACTCTACATAGATCTTGTAAATGCTACACTGTAATTTTCAGCCTTCTCTACGTATATTTCCATGTGATTAATAAATCAACCTTCCATTTGCATATTAATTTTATTTGCACAGAGCTTGGGAAAATTTTATTTATTTACTTACTTAGTTTTTAAGATTTTATTTATTTATTTGACAGAGATCACAAGTAGGTAGAGAGGCAGGCAGAGGGGCAGGGGGGAAGCAGCTCCCTGCTGAGCAGAGAGCCTGATGCGGGGCTCCATCCCGGGACCCTGGGATCATGACCTGAGCCGAAGGTAGAGGCTTTAACCCACTGAGCCACCCAGGTGCTCCAGGAAAATTTTATTTTATTAATAATTCTTTGGTCACTGAACTATGCCTCCCAAAGGAGAAAGCTATTAGAAACAAGTTTTATGCTGAAAGAAGAAGAATTTTGAAAGAGTAAAGCCTTTTTTAAAAAATTTTAATTATTTTCATTTGAGTAGAGTTGACACACAATGGTACATGAGTTTCCAGTGTACAACATAGTGACTTAACTTTTCTATGTTATGCTATGCTCATGACAAGTTCGCTACCATCTGTCACTGCACAACCTATCACCATCGACTCTATTTCCTAGGCTGTTCCTTTTAGTCCCATAACGTATTCATTCCATCACCGGAAGCCCATGTCTCCCACTCCCCTTCGCCCATTTTGCACATCCCTCCACACCTTCCCTTCTGCATCTGTTTGTTTTCCGTGTTTACAGATCTGATTCTGTTTGCTTGTTAATTTTTCTTTGTTTTAGATTCCACATATAAGAGAAATCATGTGGTATTTGTCTTTCTCTGACTTATTTCACTTAGCCTAATAACTTAGCATAATGCCCACAAGGTCCATCCATGTTGTTGCAAATGGCATGATCTCATGTTTTGTTATTGCTGAGTAATATTACACTGTATTTATACCACAAGAAAGACTTAAATCCTATTCAGGAAAACCCACAAATATCATCAGGACTAAACAGAGAAGTGTTATATGTGGGCAGTGCCTGCCTTCTTGGATCAATTTCATCTTCCAAATTAATGCATATAAAATATTATATTTCCTAATTTTTGTGGAAATATAAATATGGGTGGTAAAACAGTTTATTTGGTTGTGTCAACTATATTCCAATTAAAAAAAGACCTAAAAAATAGATAAATAAAGATTATTTGCTTTTTGGGGCACCTGGTGGCTCAGTGGGTTAAAGCCTCTGCCTTCAGCTTGGGTCATGATCCCGGGGTCCTGGGATCGAGCCCCGCGTCGGGCTCTCTGCTCAGCAGGAAGCCTGCTTCCTCCTCTCTCTCTGCCTGCCTCTCTGCCTAATTGTGATCTCTGTCTGTCAAATAAATAAATAAAATCTTTAAAAAAAAAGATTATTTGCTTTTGTGTATCAAGAGCGTCGGTGCCTGTATTTCACTAGGAGCAGAAATGAGAACAGCTCTTTCCAGGATTACACCCACAGCTTCCATGTGCTGACAAAGAAAAGCTTACTTCTAGAAAGTTCTGATTAAGATAGGAGCAAACACAGCCCCACCAGCTGCTGGCCATGTAGAATTAGGAAATAAAGTGGCATGCCTGGAGGCAACAATGTATCTTTGAGCTGGATGGCTATCCCAGCCTGTAGATCCCCTGGACCCTTGTGATTTTATAGGCCTTTTTGGAGGGGTAACTTGTACACAGGGATTTTCAACATACAAGTAATCATAAGTGCTCTTGGGAAGAGGCTCACAGATAAGTCACAGCTTCAGTCTGCACCTGTGACATCTTGCTGGGAGTCGAGACTAAGGGAAACATTTTTTAAGTGGCAAACTCCACACAGGACACTCTTCTCTCCAGACAGTGATGGCTCATGGCTGCTACCTTTCAGCAGAAGAGCTGCAGGTGTTCAAGGAGCGGGGAGCAGCCATCGCCCATTGCCCCAATTCTAACTTATCGTAAGTAGACAATCATCAGTCTGTCAATGGTGAGTGTTTGGGTTACGAATTAGCAGCCCGGATACCTTCGGTTTTCTCAGCCCTGCCTCCAGGGTCCCCCCTTCAAGAGTTCTGTTTAATTGGGACAGGAACCAGGTAGATGCATTGAGGCCAACCTCTGCCTCAGTGGGGAGAAAGAGCACTCAGTAGAGGATATTTTTTGCAGAGTATGCGTTTGAAGAACACAGCATCTCTTAAAATTTCTGCGTTTGCCCAAAATGGGACAATAGGAAATATAACAGAAAGAGTTCAAAACCTCCAGCATTTCAGGGTTTGCAACTAAGGACCGCAAGAACGCATATGCCAGCCAGGTGTTCCAGGGAGAGGGTACTGACTTCCCATTACTTGGCATGCTCTGCGGTCAGGAGAAGGTGCCACAAGCCAGCATCCGACAGTGTATACCGTGCTGCCGGATCCAACAGGACACCAGTTCACATAGGAGGGACTGTGTCCTGTTGTAATTCCCTGGAATACGAAGCTTTATTTATAACTAGTTTTCAACCCTTTGAAAGGTCATAGATCCATGAGCCAGATGGAAATGATGGCCTGTATTTTCAGAAGAAAGCTCACAGATACAGAAACATTACATCTCCTTTCAGGGAATTCATAGATCCCATGATGCTGATCCATGGGTGCCAGGTTAAGAACCCATGCTCCAGGATTCAATACAGAAAGGATCTCACTTCCAGTGCTAATTGATTCAGAATAGAGTTCCTTCCACTTGGAAGCAGGTTGAGATAGATCATTCATATATTCATTCAGCAAATTTATTTCGCTTCTGCTAGGTTTTAGGTTTTTTGAGGGTTACTTTGTATCCTCTGTTCTTTTGAGTTCTTGCAGAAGCGGACCATGAGACCATTCATGTACAAGTAGTTTATGTGGAGGTGATCTCAGGATGTCCATGGGTAAGACGGAGAAGGCAAGGGGGTCAGTAAGAGCGCGTCATCAAGCAGCTTACCACGGTGGGCTCCTGGAGTTTAATTCTTCCAGAAACCTCAGGGAAGCAATGTACAAAACATACCTCAAAGTCATTCTGCCCTCGGGGTGAGGAAGCGGGGATAGTTATTCCCACATACCTATCAGTTATTTGTGGAAGGCTGCTGGGTGAGGTGAAGAGGTACGAATTCCCTGGAACTCCTGACCTGCCGGGAACAAGGGCAGAGCAGGCTCTGTGATGGGGAAAGAGCCCCGAGGTAGAGTCAGAGGCGCTGGCAGTTGGAAGTGTAGGGAGTTGGCCAGCAAAAAGAGATGTATGTCAGATAGAAGCATAGGAAAGACATGAGAGCCACAGAGCTATATTTCTGGTGCGTTTTTGAGAGGTTCCAGAGCCTTCTGGTTTTCAGACATTATGTGGTCACACATGACAGGGAATCTGGCCTATGTATGGCTAGTGACCATAATTACAGTCTGGGGACCAGATAGGGAAAGGATTTAACATTTCCAGGGGTTAGTTACACGATATCCAAATTAAAATATAATCCAGTTTTGCAAATTGAGGTTGGAGGTTCAATTTCCTCATGGGTACGTTTCTGTTTAGATGGTCGCTGCTATTCTTTCTCCAACAACTTTGATTTATTGCATGTGCACTGGGGATTTGACAGTGGTATTTACGTGCATCTTCAAGGAGACCACTGTGACCTTTGCCTCTTCTCAGACTTCTAAGAAACGCTTTGGTTTTCCTTTGTTTCTATAGAAAGGCGGCACATCTAGTAAGCTCAGGGTCATAACGTCCGGAATTCAGTCTGGAACCTTCTCTCCTAGCTGTTGCGGTCCTCAGCTGCAGCCTGCGACCTGTCAGGTCCTGACTCATCAGCCTGCACCCCCTTTCCCAGAGTACCCTCCTTCTTTGATTTTGCAAGTCACTACTCATTCAGGGTAACAAAGTATCCCAGACACAGAGGAAAGACAATGTTTTGCAATTTCTACTTTTGAACATAGAAGGATGAGTTTATTAAAAACAAAAACAGAAACAAAAAACACTGAAGACCAGTAGATTTTTGCATGAATGGCAAGATTGAATTCCTTCATTTATTTTTCCTTACAAATGATCCCATTTTCCTTCTGTTTCTTGCTGCTTTATACCCTCCTGAGATTAAGCTCAACCCAATAAGCAGAGCTCCTTTATGATTGTTTTTTTTTACTTTGGGACTCAGATGATCTGATTTGACTAATGTGTTTGTGTCAACATGAGAGCTGTTATGACGGGAAACACAATTTTAGTGAAATCACCATCATTATTGTTGGTGTCCTTTTTTTGTTGGAAACACATGCGTCTCCTTGTCCTGACTATTTCCTCTTTCTACAGGCTCAGCAGCGGCTTTCTCAATGTGCTCGAAGTCTTGAAACATGAAGTGAAAATAGGGCTGGGTACAGGTCAGTAGTTTGCCATTTGGATATGGGCAAAGTGGTTGAGCATAACTTTATGATGTGACTAATTTCCAGGTAACAGTTTAAAGAACTTAGTTTTCTTATCTGGTAGTCCTATCTTGAGCTAATAAAATGGTGGGATGGCAGCAGGAAGAAACTATATGGAAAGGGAGAGGTTTTGATGATGCTAACCTCCTGAGGGCCATCAGGGATTGCTTGACAAAGGGTAAGTCCTTCTAAGGTGTTGTAGAGTTTTATTGTTTTCGGTTTTGTTGTTGTTGTTAAGTCCTTGATTTTTCCCCCCCTTTCATTTGGTCCTTCTGGCTAGGTTTTGATGGTTTGGATTCGTATGGTCTTAGTTTTCCGTAACTCTGTCATTACAGATACCATCTCAAAAGAAAATTATTTGACCTTGCCATAGGGAGCAGAGATTCGGTCCATGCCAGCATTGAGAATTTGAAGATATATTAAGAATTGCTTCGCTTTTGATCTGTGTTTAACAAAATGAGATTCCAACTCCCACAGGCCGTCTGTTGTTTGCTGGATCAAGGACATCCTAGGTGGCTGATGAATTAGTGGTGCCTTTTTTTCCCCCCACAATACATTTTAATTGTTTTTCCTGAGTGTGTGCAGTGCTGCTCACTTTGAAAGTATGAGACAGGCCCAAATGCGTAGGCATATCCTCTGTGAACCTTTTATTTCTGTGTATGAATAACTAAAAAAATTTTTTAAATGGGTATGGGGCACAAGGATTTATTTTCATTCTTGATGCATTTACCTTCCTGATACTTAAGAGCATTGAGATGTTTGCATAATGGTGAAGATGGTTGTCATCATTTCTTGCAATAACTCACACGTCAGTTTTATACCAGCAATGTCGGGAAGATATACAATAAAATGAAGTGACTTATTAATATTTTTAAGGAGGTGTGCTAGATTAGATGTTCACTCCAATTTTATGTGAGTCAAAAGAATTATGATTTTTAAAAAATTCTCATGTAAGACGCCAATCATTGAGATCATGGTAATACTTGGATATAGTCACAGGTGTTAAGGTAGTTATTTTATGGTCAGAGAAAAGCTTTAATGAATAAGAAAAAACATGGCCAAGAATTTTTGTTACACACTAGTCTATTAATGAAAAATTTTGTAGATAGCCAAAAATCAGGTAGGGATTTCTTTCCAGTTTTCTAGGATTTTGTCCCCCTGACTTAAGTTCATCACATGACTTCCAGTTCTTGACTTTGGGTTGTACAGTGGTGGATGCAATGTTTAGGTAAATCTTTGTCACTTATTAGCCGTAAGACTTGGAGCAAATTTCCTTAATTTTCTAAGACTTCATTTCTCTAATTTCTGTAACAATAACAATAGTTACAACTATGTCTATCTTATAAGCTTATTTTGAGGCTTAATGAGAAAAAAGTGCATACAGAATGGTTATTAGCACGTACTTGACACATTGCACTAGTCAATCAAGATTGGTTTAAAGGGAAGGAGCAATGCTGGTGTATTGACCAAAGGTTTGATTAAATATGACATATTCACTTATGAACTGGGAGAATGCTGCTGCATTTTACATGGTTTCTGTTGCAATAGCCCCACTGCATTCCACTGAAACATGACCTTTAAATATCAACCTGGCTGTCTCCTGTAGGCTTCAGAAGATCATTTAACCCTATACTGTGGGCCGGGAGTAGGTCCAAAAGTGGTTTGTTCACTCTTTCTACAATAAGTAGAGGCAGATCTGGACTTTCTCAATTATTAGATAGGAGAAACTCACATGAAGCTTAACAAAAGTATTGCAAAATCAGAGAAAGTCATATCAAAAAGAATGAGATGTGCCTGGGTGGATCCGACTCTTGATTTCAGTTCAGGTCATGATCTCAGGGTCCTGGCATCGAGGCCCACATTAAGCTCCACACTGGGTATGGAAGCTGCTTAAGATTCTCTGTCTCCCTCTTCCGCTGCCCTCCTCTCCACTCATGTGCACGTGCACATGCTCTCTCTCTCAAAAATAAAAACAAAAAAAACAATGAGAAGATGATCTTATCTCTGAAACTGACCTACATCAGGATTTAGAAGAAAAATCTCAGGATGATGATTGCCATCATCCTTGGAGTACAAAAAGACATGGTACTATGAAAAGACCACAAGTTGTGATGGAAAAAGAAATTTTTTAAATGAAAGAAGAAAACTAGGGGGGAAAAAAGAGTGAGGAGCATGTAGACAATCCTACATGACTGAAGGGAGGGTAAATTTTACAACCACTTTGGAAAACTGTTTGGCTATTTCCCATAAAGTTAAATATACATCAACATATGACCCAGTAATTCCGTTTTGGGGTATTTACCCTAGAGAAATGAGCACATATGTTTGCAGAAAGAGTTGTACATGAATGTTTATACCAGCTGTATTTGTAATAGCCCTAAGCAGGAAACAATCCAAAATCCCGTGGACTGGGGAATGGATAAGCAAACTGTGGTGTATTCTTAGAGTGGAATGCCGCTCGGCTTTCAGGAAAGTAGAAACCACTGATCGATGTGAAACAAAGGTAAATCCACAAATATTTTGTTAAGTGAAAAAAGCCAGGCACAAAAGACCACATGCTGTATGTTTCCATATGCATGAAACCTAGGAACCAGTGGAGCTAACATTATGTTGATAGAAATCAGACAGTGGTTGCCAAGGATTGGGGATGGGGGCAGGGAGCGCAAATGACCGGAAAGGACTGAGAGAGAGCTTGCTGGAGCGATGGAAATGTTTAACATCTTGTCTTTCTGAAAGGTAGTTAAATGGCTAGTATAATTGTTAGCATTCGTCAAGCTAGACACCTAAGTTCTATGCATTTTATGCTGTCTTAATTATAACTCAATTTAAAAATAACGAACAGTGTAGGAAGCTATGAGTAGAACTATTGCAGAAAATTAAATCAATGATGTGGAAAACAACAGCGATCAAAGATCAAAGTGGGTGTTTTGAGAATGATCCACATGGAGCATAGAAAGAATAACAACACAGTGGGGCTTTTCCTGACCCAGGACCCAGAGCAAATCGAACAGAAGTTGTGAAGGATAAATCTTTTCCGAGCTTAAGAAAGAACCATGTGTCATATTCAAAGAACTTACCCTGTTCTACGCTAAATCGTAACTGATTGCTAAGACATTGGAATTACAAAGAAAAAGGAAAAAAAAATCTGAAAACAGTGAGGCAGGGAAAAAAGTCAGTTATCAATAAAACAATTAAAAATCAGTTTGGTTTCGGGTGTTTTTGCTGGCATGAAAAATAGCAAGGTCAAGAAAGAGTTTGGAGCCAAATCATTGTTTCCCAAGAATATTATGTTGACGAGATCCTCCTTTATTTGCAAAGGCAACAAAATTCTCCAATATACAAAGTCTTGGAAAATATGCTCCCCATGAACTCTTGGAAAAAATTACTTGAAAATCTACAGCATTCAGTGAGTTATGAGACAAAACAATGGGCCAAGGTCAAGGGAAATGAAGGGACAACAGCATATCAGGGAGGTCCGTTAAAACAGAAATAAGATATAAAAAGTTATAAAAGAGTTTAAAAAATGAAAGCAAAAATCAAAAATGTATCTTAAGAGAGCATATGTACAGTATTAAAGTAATACCTTAAAAAAGTTAGCCGGCTGTGAGCCTTAAACTGCTCTCAAAAAATAAAGTCAGTTAACAACAACAAATATAAACACAATTCCCTCTAAAAGCTCTCCCTGAAAAATTATCATAAAGAAGTAGCTTTTAATTCCCAAAGTTCTCATCTGTATTAGAATAGAGCTAGGATGAGTTTTTAAGGGTATAGAACTGTGAGCTTGTTTTAAGTTTCATGTTATCCAAATTATCTTCGTAACCATGCAGGCGTATTTCTGTGAGAGTGCAGGGAATGTCCAGATAAGAGTTTCTTCTCTTAGCTTTATTAGCCATTTGGGCATTGCACTGGGTCGAACTGTGCACTCCTTACCCCGCCCCCCATCCTCAAAGATGTCTACCGAACAAAACGTGACCTTACTTGCAATAAAGGTCTTTGCAGTTACAATTAAGGTAGAGATTTCAAGATGAAGTCATTCTGAATTAGGGTAGGCCCTGGATGCAATGATGACTGTCTCACAAGAGAAAATGAATGACACGTAAAGACAGAGAAGAAGGCCATTGGAAGGCAGGAGCAGATGTTGTACCAGTATCATACTGCGGTAAGCCAAGGAACCGTTGCAGGAGCCTCAAACTGAAAGCAGCAAGGAAGGATTCCTCCCTGGAAGCTCTGTAGGGATCACGGCCTTGCCAGCACTCGGATTTAACACTTCTGTCCTCCAAAACTGTGAAAGAATAGATTTCTACTATTTTAAGCTGCCACATCTGCAGTGATTTTTTGTAAGGACCCTAGGAAATGAATACATTTGATATGCATTAGATACCAATTGCAGGTTTTGAATTCTTTCAACAGTTAGTCTGTGTCTGTTCTGTGTCTAGATAAGATCTTTTCTTGGAAGTATATTCCAGACAGAGTATCACTCACTAAAACCCAAAAACCAACGTCATATACCTACGATCCCATTTATCGAAGGAGGTTACTCTTGTGGCTTTATTTCATCTCCCGTAGATGTGGCTGGTGGTTATTCAGCCTCCATGCTGGATGCGATCAGAAGAGCAGTGATGGTTTCCAATATCCTTTTAATTAATAAGATCAACGAGAAAAGCCTTACCCTCAAAGAGGTCTTCAGACTAGCTACTCTTGGAGGCAGCCAAGGTAATGACCATTTTGTCTCTTTCTTGAGCAGTGTACAACCGCGCCAGTCTGTGTCCTTGGAAACAGTATGAGGGCTTACGAGAGTGGCGTCAGCAGGCACCCCTTATTCATACCCCGATGTTGTGTCTCATGTACCAGACCCCAGATTTAGTGCGTAATGTTCAGACATGTGGTGGAGGTATCCTTTCTTCAGCAAGTCCCCTGTCTTTGGCAGGGGACATGTTCAACACACAATTATATTAATGCTTTGATGGATATTTGCAATGGTCGCATGGGGGTGAGTTCTTGAAAATCATCAGCTTTTTCCCACTGAGTCAAGTAAAACATTCTCTTTTGGCCTGAGGGATGAGAGTAATCATATTCATAATAATAGTAAAAATAATAGCCCAGACTTAACTCTTACCAGGTAAGAGGCAGTGTGCGTCATGCTTTCTGTTGTGACTTCAACCTCACAACCGCTGCTAATTCCCCCCGACCAGCGAGGCATCTGAGTGAGGTGTACACGGTTGTCAAGCTACAGAGTGCCCTGATTTGAATCCAGAAAATCTGGTGCCAGAGTGCAGGTTCCTACTTTTCCTCTGGAAATTCCAGCTTCAACTCTGCATTTTGTTGGTATATTTAAGGACACTAATTACCCAAAGCTCTTTAAAAGGAAAAAGATGTAAAAGTGCAATTGATTGATATGTAAAGACTGCTTACCAGCTTTTTCCAGTTCTCACCTGTAACCGTATTTTTAGGGAAAAAATAGAAATTGGTAATTGTATTGCTTTTAGTCACTTCCGTATTTTAGTGTGATCTGGATGGATGATGGTGAACACAGCATGAAACTCAGGTAGCTATTAGGAAATGGAAACATCAAAACAGAGACAGTGTAGATATAGAGAGAGATTTATGAAAGATACCCGGGGTCTTAGAAAATGGAGGATGATAGAAGCTGAGAGTGTCCTGGGAAGAGAAACCTTCTGGCTCTTTGGATGTTCTGGGCTATGATGAATGCCATAAAGAACATTTCAGGGGAAACAAGCAGAGGTCATGCTCTTTGCATTTTCTTAAGTCTTATGATTTTGTTTTCTAAAGTTCCAAGTTTTAAATCATCCATTTTTTTTTTTAAATTCCCCCTCCCTGTTGGTATTGTTGGCCCACCATCTGATTTTCATGGTGCCAGTGGGCTGTTGCTTAAGTGCCTTCTGTATTCTAGGCTCTCTGCGAGGTGCTTCATCGGGGTCCTGTACGAGATCAAGCTGGCACGGGGTGCTTACCAAACCATGTCTATCTTGCTGTGTAGCTTTTAGATCTATTTTCTGGGCCCTGAGCTTACTGTGATGGAACTTCTTCTCCTAAGTGTGTGTCTCTGTGAGACTCTGAGTAAAATGAGATGACTGGATCACTGTTTAAATTGTGGCATCTCCCCAGCTTGTCACAACCTTTTCCTTCACTCTCAAGACCAAGATGTGCCTAAATCCCCTTCACAGGCACTTGTGCTCCAAGGCAGCGAGACTGCATTTCCTGAAATGCGTCTGAGCTGCTTACCAGCCCTCCTGGGCCTCTCTGTAATAATCTGAATTTAGACCAATTTACACATTTGTAAAAGCAGTTGTGCCTTTTTTGGGTTAGCACATGCCTGACCTTCCAGGTCTGAACAATCCACTCGGTTAGTTTATACGTACACGTACCATCAAAACTCTGGCAAATGAAGCTGGTCATCTGACCTATTAAACACACAACAATTTTATGTTGAATACAGTCATTAAAAACTTCTATTTTGTTAAGCTTCTTTATCAAAGGCAAAAAGATTGTAATTGGCAAAGGAGGAGAGAATATCCAATGATGTTCTACTATATTCAGTACTTCCCACACAGTTAGTAGGAGTCACCTAACTGCCTTTCACATTTTCTAATTACTTTTGCACCCCTGTCTGCCTGTAAGAGTTCATTAGCTATACAATCTTGCTCTTTTCTGAGAATAAAAGAGTTACCCTTTAAACAATCTTTTAAGAACAAGTAGGGTTTCTTAATCAGTGCTTAGGGAACTGCCAAAAAGTCTGCTGGATATCCATACAGAGAAAGAGAATGTACCAGATTGTGTCTAATGGAGGTACCTGATCCAATATTTTCACATCGGACTCTATCTTGATGGGACAGAATTCAGCCAACACATGCAAAAATTCAAATAAACAATGGAGCCCTCCAGCTGGCCTTCGTCTGTGCACGCTTCCCCTTCGTAGCTCAGCGTGCACTCAGATTACAGGCTTTAAGGAGCTTTAGAATTAATATCTTTATTGACTCGGAAAGCCAACTACTCCCATCTTCTGAAACTAAATCATAAAAATGACAGATGTTCCTCCTTGACATCTGATATTCATGGAACGTGAATTCTCGTTATGAGATGGATCAAGTCAATAGATAGTACTGACCTATTTTAGAAAACCATTCTTCCCTGGCAACCAGAAAGTCCTTGAGGTTACCGAGAAATTGGTCTGCTTTCTAAAGCATTGGCACTCTTGAGTTAGGAGGACATACTTACTTTCAGAAGTCAATTTTCTCCATTCAGTGGATTTAAACTAAGGAACTTAGGGTGGGCAGGCCTGCGTTGACGAAGATGCAAAAGGATACTTATTTATTTGAGGTTCATTTCACTGCCATGAAAATAGATCCCGTCAGCTGTTTCACAGAACAAAAAGGGCAAGAGTTGGAGTGTCGGGGGAGAACAGGAGGGGAGAAGAAGACATTATGTCAATCGTCATGTTTCTTAGAGGGATGAGTGGAAATCATAGGCCAGCTGGACTGTGAAGGGCGCTAATAGAGCTGAAACAGACAGACACCATCTGAATTAGGGATTGTGGTGATAAGGAGACCTGTTTTTATTCTCAGATTTTGCTTTCCACATGCTGCTTCTGCTTCCTGTGTGTCAATGTTTTAGGATTTCTTAGAATGAGAGCTTCTCTCCTTCCCATTAAGATAGTTTTTTTCTAGTGATAGTCTGCAAAGACAGACTCTGTCCTTGCAAATGGGGACATTTTCACCATCTGATGGCTCCAAATACTGACTGTTTACTAATTTATTCCACTCTGTAGCCCTGGGGCTAGATAAAGAGATTGGAAACTTTGAAGTGGGCAAGGAATTTGATGCCCTCCTGATCAACCCCAAAGCATCTGACTCTCCCATTGACTTATTTTCTGGGGATCTGGCTGGTGATATATCTGAAGTAAGTAAAACAAATTTCGTCAAAAGGCATCTTTTTCATGTCTTCCGGAGGAAAAAAAAATAGAAATGGAAATATTTTAAGGGAATACAGGGGAATCTTAAAAGGGAAAGTAGATCCTTTTCAATTTGTCAGTGTAATATTAAGAATAATGGTACTGACAAAAACTTGTACTTTGAATATATTTGTATATTTGAATCTATTTGACTACAATAAGTCCATTTCTTTTTCATTAACGGAAGTAGATTTTTGCCTCTGAGAAATAAATTTATATGTCTGCGCTTTACCAACCCCTGTTGACTATGAATTTAGTCTTCTAAATGCACAGAATATTTTTTCTTATTATTACTTCATTTTGCATTTTAGGCTGTAATCCAGAAGTTCCTCTACCTAGGTAGGTGGATATATGTCTCTGTGCTAAATAAAATCTTTCCTGGTCTTTCTTGGGTATGGCTCCCTGCATGTGTGGCCCCATAGGTTAAACTCTATGCGTGACCATTTCATTTATTATTTTAACATTCCTCAGCATCAAGCTCATTTCAGGGCATTATCTGAAATGCCCGTGTTCCTCTGGAAGATAAATCCAAAGCTGAGGAGCGGCAGGTTCAGGGAAGAGGCCGTTGGGTCCCTTCCTCCCCGTTCACTCTGAACACCCGCCCAGTCTTTCCTACCATGTTCTATTTGTGATAAGTTTGTGGTGGAGTCTCACCACCTAGGTTTGGTGTGTGTGTATTTTGTTTTGTTTTAACGCGTACTCACATTTGATTCCGTTCACTGAGAGAAATAAATAGTACGGGAGATTCTACTTTGGTCCCCGCTTGGTCTGGGGAGCTGTGAGTACTGGGTGAACTTGAGAAGAGAGATGCAGGTACCATTTCCAGAGCTCTGCTCCTGGAGGCCCTCCGCGTCTCCCCATGCTGAGGATGATTCTGGCCTGTAAAGATAAGCATTTCCTTTACCGTCAGGGCTGGAAATGCAAACCGCTCCAGCCGACAGGGCTGCCGCAGAAAGTGAACTCAACTTTCCGGGATTTCTGCCTTTGGTGCAGAATTCAGACCCTAATCCTCCAGTTCAATGGAGCCCCTTGTCTTGGTCATGTCCCCTTGTCCAGATTATGAACAGTCCGAGAGGAAAAAAAAATGTAGCTTTTTGTATTTTCCCTCTTAGAAGTGGTATTTGTTTTTAAATCCCTCCCTGTGGCAATTAAAATACTTACTGACATAGGAGTGCCTGGGTGGCTCAGTCCATTGGGCTCCTGGGACTCCTGGTTCCAGCTCAGGTCATGATCTCTGGTTGGTCATGGCATTGAGCCCCAGGTCGGGCTCCACACTCAGTGGGGTGTCTGCTTCTCGCCATTCTCTGCCCTTCCCCTCCCCCCACACTCACACACTCTCTCTCTGTCTCGAATCAATAAATCTTTTTTAAAAATACCTATTGACATAAAAACACTTTATGAATGATTCCTTCATTTTTCTTTCAGGAGATGACCGGAATATTGAGGAGGTTTATGTGGGCGGAAAACAGGTGGTCCCCTTTTCAAGCTCAGTGTAAGACCCTCGGCCTCTACAAATTCTCCTGGGATCACGTGGTTCTGCATCTCCCTGGTGCCCAGGCCGAGTTAGAAAGTCCAAAAATAGTATCTTGTTCTTGGGATGACTCTCTCTTTCTGTGTCTAGTTACAGTACTCACTTGACAAATCGTTTGAAGGGGGTCGTGCTAATTCCCAGCCCTCCGGCTGGGAGGATTCAAAATCTCTCCCTTTTGAGCTGTTTGGATTTACTTTAAGCTCAAATATAAGGGAATGTTATTCCTGGTGGGGTTCTTATTGTGAGATTTAAGTCAAATCGATTTCATATTTGGAAATGTGGAGAGAAAAGGTATTCCTGTAAGGCTAGATATGCTGAGCTAATAAATGTGAAAAATCAGAAAATGGAAAATGAACTAGTAAATATATTTTTATGAGGGAGAAAAAGTTAGACTATAAACATGCATTGGAAAAACACTTCAGATTATGATTGAAAATTATGTACTGAGCATATTAATTTCAGAGGAGAACTTGTTGAATTTTAAAATGTGTTTCTAGATTGACCTTGTGTTCTGGAAATTTGCACTTGATGGAATTTGCATTTCAGAGACATGTTATTGTTGTGCTTTGCCTTCTTTGGGGATGAAATGTCAGAAATTGAATGCCACATGCTTTCTTCATATAGTTCTGTGCTGCAGAGTGTTTGACAGAGGTTAAAGATTTAAAGTCTCTTAGGAATATTATTCATATAACTACAGGGTACAAATAGTGGTATTTTTGTGTACTTTAAAATCACCTTAATGTATAAATGTGTGATGCTATTATTGCTTCAGTGTTATTAGAAAATAAACAAATTCCATACTCCACTGTTGTGTAGACTGGAGTCTTCATAAACTGGGTCACGTGCTGGGCAGTAAGGAGCTACCAATACTAAAAGGAAGGGTTTCACGGCAATGGTGGGGTCTCCCCAAGAGGTATGCCATGGTTGCTGAATATTTAATCCTCAGATCTCAGTCTGGTAGTACTTTAAAATGAAAGACAAACTCAGTTAAATACATTATTAAAAATCTTTAAACCCTGCTTACTGAAAGCACTGGATTTTTCCATTTTATCCTGTTGCCTTTTTAATTCCTAATAATTTTGGGGACATTTGAATTTTAGGATAATTAAAATACATGCCCCACTTAAGGTTTATAGTAATAGGACTAACCTGCACTAGACATCTAGGAACATTACACAAAACAAAAAGTATTTTTATGCTTCCTAGTACAGTGTACTTTTCCATAATCTATAATTAAAAGCAAATTTTTTTATAAACTCTGAAGAAGTATTGATGTGAACGTCATTTAAATACTACAGTTTTCTCATTTAATTTCAAAAACTATGAATCAACACGGAAAAGGAATAGATTTTCTTACTGTATCTTCACACTCACACCTAGGACTTAAGTGTGACTCCTTATAATTTACCTTAGAGTAGAGAATATAATATAGTTATATTATATTAGGTTCTTACAGACCTAAGAACAAAATTCCCCCTCTTGTATTATAAATTTGATCCTCAGTTAGTTTTACTAAATCAGCAGTCATTTGCCCACATTGTGTTTTCTGCTTTTCCTGCTGAAAACACTTTTAGATTTGATTGTGTACACACAACATCTAATGACGGAACACAATTTTGGCCTTATTTTCATTTTTTAAAGAATTTCTCTTATTTGAATATAGCTGACACACAATTTGATCTTATTTAAAACACACAAGCAGTTTGTGTTGTGGGATATTAAGTGACTCCGTAAATTCAGCTTCCAGTGGCCAAAGGAACATGGTTCCCTGGTGTCTAACCCACAGGAGTGGACTTAAGAATTTGGATCAGATGTGTAAGATCCTCTCATAGGCAGCAGCTACATTCCCAGCCTTTGCAAGATCCTACACGTGTAACTTCCTTAAGGAGGTATGTGTTGATGTCCAGCATCAGCTTTCACTTAGATGAAGGATTCTGTATATAAACAGGTGTGACCTCAGCAGCAAGAAGAGTGGCCATCTACAACCGATCTGTCAAACATTCCATTTAGCCCCAGGAGTATATTAAGACCTGACTATCTTTTCTGGTAAAAATAGGATATGTTGAAATGTTTACATGTAGTTCGCTCTCCCTGCATCTCTTCTTAGAACTTCTGTGTTTTCGTGGCTCCCAGCACAGTGGTCCTGAATGTGGCGTAGGCTTTGTGCAATATGGCAGACATTGGCCGTACATGTGGTCACAGGCTCTACACCTTGAAATGTTAGCTTGGCCTCATGTGGCTTGACTTTCTGAATTGTGGAGAGGCGGTTTTTCAAGCCAACCCTATTTGTCACTTTATGTTTGAATATTTTGCTCTCTGACAGGAAAGAAAAAATGAAGGCTTCTTATCAGCCCCCTCCCCTCACCCTGTACTGGTTGCCTCGGGTTTCATGGCATTTGTTAATGGAATACACTTTAACAGGTAAAAACTGAGTTAATAGTGCTGACAGTCCTGCGTTTGAAAGATATTTTCTACAACAGAAACAAAAGGGGGCTGATCGGGTAAGGTGAATTTCCAAAAGGGAATGAAACATGGGATTAGGACTGAGAAGTTGTCCTGGTAATCGTAACCTGAGACTAAGAATCGGCTCCCTTCTTTGGTTCTTTCTCTGATTTCATTGTCGAAGGTTCTAGAATCCAAGAGAATATCTTGGACCTAGCTCCCTTCATGCCAGGAGGAAGTCTTTCTAAGTTACTATTGTGAGCACTGAACCCCACAGAATCTCTTTTTCACTTCCCTGAGAATTCTGCATAGCAAAGGGAGGAAAGTGGTTGGAAACTTTCCTGTTACACTTAGGTGATCTTGAGTTGATCCTGGAGTGTCCCTGTTGGCAACTACAGCTGGGATGTCACAGAGGTAACACAGTGGATGTGAGATCCAGCAGTGTATTCTGAATCTTCATTCCCTTCCAGACTCTTCCTATTTTTAATCTTTTCACCTCAGAACCAGACATATGGAAAGCTTTCAAGGCAAGCTGGAAGGCATATTGTATCAGTTCTACCTTGAGCATACACGGAAGATATCCAGACCTGGACGCTTTTGTACCCTAGTGGACATCTTTTCATTGTTGTCCATTTTTTAAGGTTGTTGATGCTGCTGGACATATTCACATGTCTAAAAGGAGCATTCTGAATTTTTAAAAGGTAGACTAAGAAATGTGTCATGGCGATGTCTTGAAATAATTCTCAAATTAAATGGATTGTTATGAATTTTTAAGTTTTTGGGTTTTTTGGTGAGTCTTAGAAGAGATATTTGCAACTTCAGATCTACCCAGCCCCTTTCAGTATGATTTTGGGCCCTGACCCTTTTCAGTGTCTGTAAAGGAAAGTGTGTAAAGAAGTACACAGATGAACAGACACTACTGGAAAGACCGAACATTGGACCCCATGCGTATTTTCACACCCAGCCTCTCCCTTTCCCGCCCACAGTCCCAAAGGTGAGAGAGTGAGAGCTGAGGGGTTAGTCTGTAAATCTAGTCCAAATTTACTGAAATGCAAAACTTGAGAGACCAGTGATGGAACTTGTGTAAATTCCTTTTTTTTTTTTCCAATTACAAGTTTTATTTATTGTTTGTTGTCGGAACTCGTGTAAATTCTAAGACAGCTTTCAGCGTCCATGGGGAACAGACGTCATGGGGCACTGAGTTGCCTGTTTATTTCCTGTTCAGGAGCCTGTCAGAAAGCATTCTCTATCAAAAACCACCTTACATTATATGTCAAACTCTGGACTGCTGCTCTTAAGGACATGTATGCGTGTATTCATGAGGACGTTTTTACTCCGTATTTGTGTGATTTGCTTCCCCGTTCATGTGCTGAGTGAGCTCCTTTGTGCTTCAGACAAAAATAAATGAGATTTTGTGTTTACATTTTTCTGTTGTGGTGAGTTCTATAGCTCTGACAGAGGGAGATTAATCTTGCAATGTGTTTCTCCTTTTAACATGAGTTTTTAAAAATAGAATAGAATATGTAGCTGTGGGCCAACGTGTATCTTCCATTTTACGATAGACAACATACATAACTTTTAAAAATTAAGCTATAGAAAGTCAGCCGTTTAGATTGCTGTTGCTTTTGATTTCAGCATAGTTAAATTTCATATTTTCTAAAGTCACAACAGAGTAAGAAATGCACATTAACGTCAAGAATTAGTTCACACAGGAGCATCTGGGTGGCTCAGTCGGTTAAGCATCTGCTTTCAGCTCAGGTCATGATCCCAGGTCCTGAGATCGAGCCCCGCATCAGGCTCTCTGCTCAGCAGGATTCTGTTTCTCCCTCTCCCTCTGCCTGCCTGCCTGCCTACTGCTCCCCATGCTTGTGCTCTCTCTCTCACTCTCTCTCTCTCTGTGTCAAATAAATAAATAAAATCTTAAAAAAAAATACTCAGAATTCTCAGGTGAGTAATCTAAAAAAAAAGTACACCAAATTTGTAACTGGGCACAGAGTTCTGTAAATAGTTAATCAACAGGCGTGCACAAATTATTGCATGGTACTAAATTAGTCATTTAAATGAAGTAAGGTTTAGATATAAAAATACTTGTCAGTAGGACCTGTACTAGGGTGTTTTCAGGACCACATGTAGAGGCCACTCATTTAGAGGAAAAGGACCCTTAAGTATTGTCACCAATAAGAGCAGGTTTTGGATTTTGGGGCTTTTTTATTAATCCTGCTTTAAGGGGCACCTGGGTGGCTCAGTGGGTTAAAGCCTCTGCCTTCGGCTCAGGTCATGATCCCAGGGTCCTGGGATCGAGCCCCACATTGGGCTCTCTTCTCAGCAGGGAACCTGCTTCCTCCTCTCTCTCTCTGCCTGCCTCGCTGCCTACCTGTGATCTCTATCTGTCAAATAAATAAATAAAATCTTTTTAAAAAAAATCCTGCTTTAAAATGGGATAAGAGAAAAAAATTAAATGAGTTAAGGAAAGTATTCTGTTCTTTTTTTTTTTTTTTTTAGATTTTATTTATTTATTTGACAGAGAGAGATCACAAGTAGGCAGAGAGGCAGGCAGAGAGAGAGGAAGGGAAGCAGGCTCCCTGCTGAGCAGAGAGCCCGATGATGCGATGCGGGGCCGATCCCAGGATCCTGAGACATCAGGCTCCCTGCTGAGCAGAGAACCCAATGTAGGACTCGATCCCAGGACCCTGAGATCATGACCTGAGCCGAAGGCAGAGGCTTTAACCCACTGAGCCACCCAGGCGCCCCAAGTATTCTGTTCTTTAAAGCGATAGAACATTCTTTTAGAGTATAATTCAACTTTTTCATGAATTCAGACTCATCCCCTCTTACGATCAAGCCTACCTCCACCATCACTGTAAAATTACCTTAGATCTGTCATACTTCTTGGGTTTTTCCATGCTTCTGCATTGGTTGAGTCTGTATTTCCGGGTGGGAAGAGAGGTTGCTAAAAAAAAATATATATATATATATGGGAAAACCTTTAGTGGGCAATTTTTCCACAGAAACTCAGAAAAAAAGCATTTTTGCCTAAACATAAAAAGTGATCAAGAAAATATGAAAAGCTGACATGGAGTTTTGTAGGCCCCTTGAGCCCTCCTCGA